CTTTCCCACATTTGACATCATGGCCGCGAAGTCCAGCTTGCGGTGATCATTTTTCGGTGCGGGGATTAGGCGGCCTCGGCACCCCCTTGGCGCTCCCGAGAAGTCGGGCACAAAGGTGACTGTGCTCGAGCAGGCTGAGACTTGTCGAAGTGAGCTGATACGCCGGATGATACTGGGTGTTATTTCCAAAGGCTGACTTTTTCATGTGCAGATTGGAGCTGGAGTTCAAGTACCGCCAAATGCTTCACGGGAGTTGATCCGATGGGGCATCGGGGACCAGATGGACGCCGTGTCGTCCAGGCCATCTCGCATCAACTATCGTTCTTGGCAAACAGCAGAGGCGCAGGGCTTTACCGATCTGTCGAGGCATCCCGAGGTGTATGGGGCTCCGTATTGGCAGATTTACCGGCCAGATTATCACTCCATCCTAGTTGAGGCTGCCGCGAAAGCTGGCGCTGTCATCCGCAAGGGTCAGACCGTGGTTGACTACAAGCCCGAGGAGGCCACAGTCGTCCTTGAGTCTGGAGAGACGCTTCGTGGCGATCTGGTTATTGCTGCCGATGGAGTCAAGAGCTTGGCCAGGAAGGTGATGGGGCTGAACATCGAGCCTCACGAGACAGGCGACACGTGCTTCCGCGTTGTGGTGCCGAGAGAGAGGTTAACCAGTGATCCGGAGCTGGCGTCGCTCAGCACCGACCCCAACTTTGAGCAGTTCCTCGGTCCCGACCATCACATTATCGGGTGAGTTTTTTGAAAGTTGTCTTCAGTGTCAATCGCTCATGTTTTACCCAGATACAACATGCAAAAGGAGAAGACGTTCAATCTACTGATGGTCATCCCTGACGACCGCAAGATGAAGGGATACAAGGCCCCTGCAACTGCTTCCGAGGTCAGAGAGGCCTACAAAGGATGGTCTCCTATGTAAGTAAAGCGTCGAACCCCATGTCATGCGCACTTTCAGCTGACCAGGACACAGGGTGCAGAAACTCCTTTCCTTCCTGCCCGAAGAGGTCGAGAAGTGGCGCCTGACTGATCTCCCTACCATCACGGACTGGGTGCATCCCTCAGGGAAAATGGTTCTCATCGGCGACGCATCCCACGCCACGCTTCCGTATCTTGCGCAAGGCGCGGCAATGGCGATTGAAGATGCCGTCGTGCTCGGATCCGCGCTGTCTCACGTTAGCGCCAAGGAGGACATTCACCGGCTGTTGCTCTTCTTTTACAAGACAAGAGTCGGTCGTGCACATGCGATTCAAAGGGGCAGCTTCACCAACAGGTTTTTCATCCACATGAGGGAGGAGGAGATCCTCAAAATGAGGCTTGGCGTGTTCAAGGCTGGCGACTATCCCAGCAGCCCGAATCTGATGGGCAACACGGTGTTCCAGGACTGGCTGTACGGCTATGATGCCAAGGCTGACGCCAGCTTGCAATGGGAGAAGGAGGTGCGAGCAAATGGGTCGCGGCTGTAGTGATATTCTTTCAAAACAATAGGCTCTTGAGCGAGGCAAATTTAGATCAATATACTTGTAACAGCTCTTCCCAAAAGCCGGTTCATATTCCACTTCCTTCCCAATTGCTGAGACGCTAAGAGCCCGTCTTGCTCTGCTTCTTACCTCCTCCTCAATCCACACTTTAGACTCACCAACACCAATTTTTCTATTGAATACCAATCATGGATTATCTCTCCGACTTCAGCTCAAGCGACTCAAACGACTCAAAACCCAAATATAGAGGAGCATTCGAAGTACCCAGAAACTCGAAGAAAAAAGTGATCCCCTTTCCGACACGTTCTCAACAGACATTTTGGATGCAAGACGTGGCCGCTCTTCCCGGTTTCGACTTCAAGAAGCCAAGGAGAATATTCCACGTACCTAAGCAGATTCAAGATGGATTGGTCGGCTGGGTCGAGGACACTTCGGATTTACAGGGATGCAGGGAACGGTTTGTCGACTCTCTGACCGGCGTTTTCGCCGCAGCTGCCGACTTCTTTTCAGTCCAAGACGATGCGGCCGGACACCAGATATCTATATTTGAGGCAGCGCCATCGATCGCGGAGCGAGCCAGGAATACAGCCCGCCTCCTTCGCTTGCTAGAGGGCGGTGACCCAGAAGACGTTCGGGATCACACGCCGTGTGAGGTCGAGGCAGTGATGCACTTTGGAGTCCTACGACAGAGCTATCTTGATCAAGGTTCACGGCAGCCAGACTCCAAACAAGTACTTTTGCAGGCACAATATGGTTGCCGCAGACCTCTTGAACTTCTTTACAAGTCAATCGAGACGTACAACCAGGTCAGAATCATTTGCCAAAGTAAGTTTCACATGAAAAGCCTACATGCCGAATCGATCCCTGCTAATGAGGAAAGGTCAAACTCGCGAGCTCTTCAGAGCTCATCGTCTGGGATTCGAGCGCAGAACGAGCTTCGATACGAATACTTTGGAGCCAATGTTCCAAATTCGAGCCAATTCGAAACTGCAAGAGATGGAGTTGACAGAATCCAAGGCGCAGTTAAAGGAGTCGAAGAGAGAGTTGGAGAGATTCAAGATCAAAGTTGCCAATCTCGAGGGACAAATACGAAGACTCAACGCGAAGCATGACGGTGTTAATAGAGACCGCGAAACCTTGAAAAGGCAGCTAGCAGTGTCTGATGATCGAGTTGAGAGGCTGCGTAAGAAGGTACGTGGGGCCCTGGATGATCATAATCTATGAAGCCACACCGCTCTGGCGTGATAATGCAAAGAAACGTGGACATGACAGCGAATGCACGCAAGGCCTTTGCCACATTATTGGATCGATCGGCGAGGTGGATGCCATATAGCTATCAGAAGGACACATATCATAGTTACGACCCCACAAAGGTTATTTGTCGGTAGCTGAAAGAAATTCCATTGGATCACAGGCGCAAGCCGATCGGAATACAACATACTGTGACACTATTCAGCTGAGAATCCCTCTCGGGCAAGTATTCGGAGTATTCAAAAGACAAATGGCAGGTATTGGGACCATGAGCAACCAGAGAGGAAGTTGTCCGCGTCACAGACTGTGCGCTCCGCAAGTAGCGTGCAGTTGTCGAAGTACCGCCTCCGCCCTGCCATGTCAAGCGGAGACGACGCGAGCAAAGTATGCTACATTGCAATGGTCAGCGTGATAAGTCCGCATGGCCCTTTATAGCCATGAGTGACTCCCTCAAGATCCATCACGCTCCAGCATGACACTCTTTTCAAGTCTCTCGCAGGATTCAAACCCGAGACGAACAGCTTCAGATGTTTTCCTAATGACCAGCGTAGGTGCCTTGCCTCGGTGCCAAGGTCCTCATTTCGCTAGCTGGCGGCAACAGGACACTGCATGCATATACTTCGTGACAGCAGCATATTTCGTCGGGTCGCCAAGTAGCCTACTTTCAGCGTACATCGTCCGGATAAGATGATGGGCAAACATGATCGTGAGACGAGACGCTCGCATGCTTGACGGGCACAGGGGATGCTCGTCCTCGGCTCATTGAAGGCGCCGCCATGGTGCTTGCTTCTTCGCGGATGGGAACTCTGCTCTTCGGTATGTCGCTTGAGCTGGTGGCGAGCTAGTCCGGGATGCCGCCCGCGTTAG